AAAAAATTAAATTAAACAATTTGTTATTATTAGTTGCTTGTTTTCAGACAACTGTTTTTTGCTAAAGTTTTGCATTTGTTTAATTTTCTGTTTGGGCATTATGCAAATATTTGCTTAAAAAACACTGTGGGGTTGATTTTTTTAAAAAGTAGAACTTAGACTTCTTTTTCCTAATTAATTTTTATTAGACCATTTTACATCACCAAACCAAAACCAGACTTCTTTTTATTGTACATTAATCACAAGGATCAAAGATTTACAATTCACATAAAAAAATGCAGTACCAACTCTTCACCCTGGTAGATAAATTTGGCTAATTGCTTACACCTGTTTCAACCTATAGACTAATTGTTTGGCTTATGAGCATTAACTAAGATAATGATTCTCATTTTGCTTCACAAGAGGAGGTATTTTAATTTTAATGATGGTTGCCACTGTCTGCTAACCCTATTGGATGTATTTATTAGCAACTATCTATGTATAGAAAAGCCCAAGTGACCAAATAACTGGTCAACTGGTTATATGACATGCACTGACCACCAGGGGGCTCAATGCAGGAGCTGCCCCCTGGTGGTCAGTAAGCTCCCACAGCAGGAGCGCCACTCAGCTGACTGATGGATGCCAGATGCAGGGCGCCACTGTGGCAGCACAAGCCTCTCCCGATTGGGACTGATTGGGTGCAAGCCTGCGGCAGGCACAGAGGGGTTGGGATGAGCAGAAACAGCAGGCAGGAGCAGCAGACGGTGTTGGACTGCTGGTTTTGGCCCGATCCCTGCAGGCCCGAGTCCGTGCACCAGTCCTCTAGTTACTAATAAACTTGCATCATGTTATTTAAAGAATTCCCAGGGAATGAAATGTGATACTTTAATAGGATTCTTTGAAATTCCAACAGGATTTTGTGGATTTGTTGAATTTTTATTTATTTATTTAAATAATTTTATTTTGTGGATTTCAGAGAGGAAGGGTGAGGGAGAGAGAGATAGAAACATCAATGATAGAGAGAATCATTGATTGGCTGCCTCCTGAAAGCCCCCTACTGGGGATCAAGCCCACAACCCGGGCATGTGCCCTTGACCGGAATTGAACCCGGGACCCTTCACTCTGCAGGCTGATGCTCTATCCATTGAGCAAAACTGGCTAGGGCGATTTGTTGAATTTTTAGATACTGTTTTATCTCTTCCCTTATCTTTCTCCTTCCTTTGCCCTCTTTTAATTTGGTTGATATGAAAATGCTGCAGTAATCACAGGAGCTTCCTTTGCTGCTTTACTCCTTTCAAATCAGGTGACAGTAGCTTTCTCTTGAAACACTTGTGCTCATGAAATTGGCAGCCCAATCTAAAATGTTGAATAGTTAATTTAATTGACTCTTATAATTTTCCATTTAAATAAATTAAATTTCTCTAGATTCTTTTTTTAAAAAGCACTGAGTGTAAATACAGAGTTTGCTTTCCAAAAATGCATGCTATTAAGATGAAACAAGAAAAAGAATAATTACGCTGTGATTGATTACTAGGCTTTCTGTGCAACACCTCTCAGGAAAAATACTCTCTTCAATGGGTGTGCAGTATGAAAAAGGAAAGTACAGCCAAAGATTAAAGCAGAACCCATTCCCTTGACATTCAGGATGCAATTCATTTAATCTTAACAGGATTTCAGAGGTCTTTTCTTTTTCTTGAACTACGTGTTCATAAGAACAAATGTGCTGTGGCAGTTTTTGCATTATGGTAGTCAAGGAAATCACAACTCTTGACTTCAAGGACTTAAATTGCCACTTCATTGTCTGATGGGCTGTTTGAAGATAAAGATATAATACTAATATACATTACTAACATAGTTATTTTAAAATTTTTTCTCTTGTTTCCTCAGATTGGAGCTTATTTTAGCAGCATATTAGCTGAGAAACTAAAGCTGAACACTTTCCAGGACACCGGAAAGAAGAAACCACAAGTTAATGCTAAAGATAATTATTGGCTGGTTACCCCTCGATCGCAGAGTGCAATTCATAGTTGGTTCTCTGAATTAGCAGGAAATAAGCCACTTGCTATTTTGGCAAAAAAGGTATAAGTTTTTCTTACATTGTTTTAATTATGATCTTATAGAAATGAAGATGTTTGAGATAATGTTCAAGTATATACGGTGGAATCTCGGTTCTCGGTCTTAATTTGTTCCAGAAGGCTATTTCAGAAGTAATTTGTTTGAAAATGGAATCATTTTTTCCCCATTAGAAATAATGTAAATGGAATCAATCCATTCCAAACCCCCAAATAATTCCCCGTTTTACCCTTTCTTATAAACAATGCATGTCTAATGAAGCATCTTTGCTTGTTCATATATCACTGCCTCCGAATGGGCTAAACTGCTTTGTCTTTATCCAAATCAACAACAGGTTTTCTTCAGTTTTACCTTTTCACTTGCCTGTGATCATTGTTTCTTTCATACCCTTAGCAACATTAGCATTCTTGATGGCCTCTTTATGTTTTAAAATTGTGTTAATGATTGATTTCACTAGCAAACACAGCATTCTCTCCTTTGTCATGTTGAGGTATCAGCAAGCAAGGGTTATCAGGTCAAAACCTAAGTTTAGTTTCAGAACCTAGACATTTTTTCTGTGAACAACTTGGATGAGAACCAAATTATTCTAGATGGGAGACTCACATGAGGTTTGACAATATTTCTTTTCCCCAGTTTTCTCCCAAACTCAAAGTCTCAGTGCAGGTATACTGCACCAGGTGTGTGCTACACATGCTGTTTCCTCCTTATTTTGATGGCATGTGGTGCTTAGGACATCCATAGACCTAAACATCCACACAGTAACCAGTTCATGTGGACTTTAGGTAGAAATGGCTCTTAAATAAAAAACAGGACATAAGACGTTATTTCTATTAAATTTTCAGTTTTCTTAGCCCGGGATGTTGGAAGTGTGTTATGTAGAAACTAGAGGCCCAGTGCACGAAATTCGTGCAAGAGTAGGCCTTCCTTCCCCTGGCTGCCGGCACCGGCTTCCCTCTGGTACCCGGGACCCAGGCTTCCCTCCAGCTGCCGGCAGGCACCTGGGACCTGGGCTTCCCTCTGGCCATTGGCAGGCACCTAGGACCCAGGCTTCTCTCACAGCCCCAGCTTCGTCTGGAAGGATGGAAGGATGTCGGGAAGGACATGTAGTCTAATGAGCATATTACGCTTTTATTATTATGGATACTTGTTTAATTAATGTTACTTCCTTGCCTTGGAAGGTAACCATCCAAATGACTTAAGCTAAGTCTCCTTTCTAACCAGTGGGATAAAGATAGTGATAGTGATTCTGTGTGTGCTTGAAAAATGTCTTTGAAAAAGTTTTAGAGCAAAATGGGCACGTTTGCTTATAGCTCCTGGCTTTTTGGAGTCGGGGTGGGGTGAGAGGGAGGGTCCTTTTAAAATCTTGCCTTTGGTCATTTTCCTCAAGTGGGAAATAATACATAGATTAACAATCTTAACAATATAAACTGTCTTTTGAAATTTAGATGAGAGCTAGAAACCTCCCTGTTCGTCTTGATCTCTAGCTTCTTGCACCTTTCAAAGAATCTGACAGGTCTTCTCATCTCCCCTGAAACCCTTTAGTTTTAAGGGTGCCCATCTTCGCTCCTGATGGTAAGATTTCTTTGTCTGGCTTGGTGCAGACCTCAGAGGAGAGCTCCTTTGTTCGTTCCTAAAGCAGCTCTTTGAAAAGAGTACCCACAGCTCCCATTGCCTTTATTTTGCCTGAGAGTCATAGCTTTGTGTTGCCTTCCATGGATTTCAGTGGTTAAAGGCAACTAAATGCTTGAAAAGCACAACAGTCAGCATAACCACCTCTTGCTACTCAGGTAGTGTCTGTTTCAACACAGCCTGAATCATGTGGCGTTTCTTTTCCAGTGGTGATCATGTGCTATGGGTGGGGTTGGGGGTGTGGGGGTGTGGAGGGCGCCAGGGGAGAGACCTCAGTTCTTGTCTTCTTGAAAGAAAAATTTCAATCAAGACACAAAGTGTAGAAAAGCAAGCAAGAATTTATTGACAGCAGCAAAAACACACTTAGGCCAGTGAAACAAGGGAGGCCTTAGAAGAAGGAACAGGAGAGCCTAGGCTGGGCTGACTTAGATCACTGGGAAGTCAGAGAAAAGGGGGCCTTGGAGACAGGTTCAGGGAGTTAACCCAGGACTAGCTGCCATTGCCCATTGCTCCCCTGGTTGCAAGTCTCATGGGGTCCCTTGGAGCAGTGGTCGTCAACCTTTCAGACCTCATGGATCACCAGTGGTCCACAGACCACTGGTTGGCGACCCACCGACCGACCAACAGACCGTTGCCTTAGAGGTTAGGGGATACATAGGGGGAAGTAGGAGGGGCCAGGGAGGGGAAGTGGAGAGGGGGAAGAGAATGGCACTGGTATGCTCCCTGGAGAGAGAGGGTGCTGGGACCTTCATTTTTAGGAGTTTTTAAGGCTGGGCATTTAAGGGGGGTCTTTGAGAGGATCAATAGACTATTCATCAGCCTTATGCTGATGTACAAAATGAGATATATTCTCTCTGTCCTTGGGTGTGACTGGCAAACTGCACTAGTTGGATTTCTGTTATTTGTCTCCCAGAGTGGGGTGATTTAAGCTACTTACTCTCTGGTTGGGGAGGAGAAGTGCAAACCATTTACTCTTAAGTGTCCTTGGTTTAGGGAAGATAGGATTTAATTAGGTGGCCACAAACTACTGTTTAACTCTCTGTCTCAGTTTTCCTATTCCGCTTGTCCTGGAATTTTTCTAGCTTCTTACTATTCTATAACACATGTACCACTTAGGCCCACTGTGGCCTATGCAAGGTATCTGGAGACCAGACAAGTCAAAGGACATCCTTCCATGGTCGATAGTCATTGGCTTTCTAACAGTAGTCCATACCCTCCATGTCAGATAGTATCTCCAACTCCTGCATGGCCAGACTGACATCTTTCTTTCTAGGTTTTCCTTTTTAAAACCTTTCAGAATACATTTTGTGGATGTATCCTGGAAGGAAGTACTGGTGAGGAATTGAGGCCCTTGCTTTAGGGGTGCAGTGGTCTCATCTTTTAGATGGGAGATGGATTAGGGTGCAGTTTAGTAGCCATTGTTCTTCTGGCTTTATTAGGAGCTGCCTCTGGCCAAGTCAGGTGTTCCTCAAGTAAGTGCTGGCATTAATTTTTTGCAAGGTTAAAAATGTTTTCTTGACAGGAAACCAGGATGGCGGCATAGGTAAACACCTGAAATTGCTGCCTTGCACAACCATTTCAAAAATACAACTAAAAGACAAAACGGACATCATCTAGAACCACAGGAAGCTGGCTGAGTGGAAATTCTACAACTAGAAGGAAAGAGAAGAGCACTCTGAGACTCAGAGGAGGTGCGGAAGTAAAGTGCAGAAGGACGCGCATGTGGAAAGGGCTGGCAACTGAGGACACGATTGTCTTTTTCAATCGGGAGGGAGTCTCAAGCTCCCAACTGCTCTGAACTACAGTTCCAGGCGAGTCTCTGGGGGACCCAGATTCATATGGGGAGAAACTGGACTATCTGGCATCGGGCAGAACTCGGAACTCAAGGGTGGCTTTCTCTCAGAGGTGCTTGCAGCGATTACCGGGACACTGAGAACTGGGGCCTCTTAGGGTAGGGCTAGTCTTGACCCAGAAGGGTGTCTCCAGGACAGAAGTTCTCCCACTGTAGACACAGCTGATTCTCACAGCCAATTGGCTTGGAGGTCAATTCCTCCCAGTGATAACTACAACAATCAAGGCTTAACTACAACAAGACTGTGCACAAAGCCCACAAAGGGGTGCACCAAGAGTGTCCACCTCAGGTAATTGCGGCGGCTGAGCCACTGGGCCCTATAGGACACCTAACACAGACACTTTATCAGGGAAGCATAAAAAATGTGGAGACAAAGAAACAGGACACAAATGACAGAAATGGAGGAAAGCAAACTACTGGATATAGAGTTCAAAACCACACTTTTAAGGTTTTTCAAAAATTTTCTAGAAACAGCCAATAATTTAGTGAGACCCTCAAGAAATCTAGTGAGACCCTCAAGGATATGAAAAAGGACCAACTAGAAATTAAGCACACATTGACTGAAATAAAGAATATTATTCAGAGATCCAACAGCAGACTAGCGGATCGCAAGAATCAAATCAAAGATTTGAAATACAAAGAAGACAAA